TTCTTTGTCTTTCTTTTTATTTTCTTCCTCGAGTTGATGAACGATTCTTTTTAGTTTTGAGATTTCTTCTTTTAACTTCTCTTTCTCTTCTGTAGAAGCTTCGATGGTATTGTTTAACTCTTCTTCAAGGAATCGTATTCTCTTTTCCCATATGCCGATAATTCTTTCTAAGGTATATAGTCGTTGTTCAAAATTCTTATTTGATTCTGCTAATTGCGATACTACCTTATAGAGTTCTTGATTACTCTGTTGTAATTCCTCTATATTTTTTATTTACTATTGTCAAATAAAGTAATGGAAAAACCAGTTATCTATATTGATCCTGATGAGGCCCAGAGAATCGAAAAAAATCTTATATTGCGTGATATATATTATCGTCCACCTGGATATTATTTTAACTCTAAATCCTTAAGTGATGTATGCAAAAAAAAGGGCATCGATTTCATTTAAGTGAATGTAAAGATTTTTTGGAATGCCAGCAATCGTACCAAATCTATATGCCCCCACCTAAACATATTCCTAGAGTTAGTTATGGGAAAATAACACAACCAAATTATGTACATCAAGCCAATATACAGTATTATTTCTCATGCATAATAAATATAAGGGAAAACTATATAAGGCAGTGCTTAATATAATAGACTGTGCCTCCCGATATAAGGCATCAGTTCCGCTTACCTCAAAGAAAAGTTCAGAAGTTGCTAAAGCACTTAGAAAAGTATATAATGACTCTAATAATCCTCTTACCTATCCTAAGTTACTTCAAACAGATAATGGGTGAGAATGGATGGGTAAGACTTCCCGATTGATGCAAGAGCACAATGTCACGATTCGAGTAGTAGGGCACTATAGTCATAGAGGTCTTGCAATCGTGGAGCATTTTAATAAGACGTAAGAGGACATACTCTATAAGATTCAGTATGCTGTTGAGTCGATATCTTCTGATTTAAGATTAATAAGAGTGTGGGTTAAATATTTGCTGAAAGTTATCGATTATCTGAATAACTACCCCACACGTCTTATTAGAGAACCAGAATCAGAAAAGTGGGGGCTCGAGCCTGTAAAAGCCATTGCATCAGAATGAGTAGAATCTAGACCATCAACAAAATATAAGCGACCTATTGGCAAGGATGAAATAATATTAAAGAAAGGTGATTCTGTCCGCTATCTTCTTGCCAATGCTGAATGAGAAGGTGAGATGGAAGCAGTGCATAGGAGCACTGATCCTATATAGTTATCTTCTATTCATAAAATCCGAAAAATCGTAGTGTCAAAAAATGAGCCTGTCTTATATTATCTCGAAGGTGATGAGTTTTCACCAAAGCGGAGATTCATGAGAGAGGAACTCATATATTTGACTCGTGATCCCGAGCTTCCCTCTCAAAGTATATTATCTGTACACCTCCCCTACCAATAATGAGTTAGATCAAGCGAAAAATTATGCTAGAAAGTGAAATGGTCAATGTCTAGGAAAGACTAGACAAATAAATAGTCATAACACATATCTTTGGTCTTGTGGAAATGGTGCGCATCAGTGGGAGTACCCACTAAAATATATCATGAAAAAACTCAAGTGGTGTCCCTTATGCCACCATACTACTGAAAGAACCGTACGATACATTTTTGAGGATCTACTAGGTAAGAAATTCCCACCATGTAGGCCTAAATTTTTAGATGGGATGCATCTCGATGGGTATAACGAAGAATTAAAACTGGCTTTTGAGTACCAGGAACCCCAGCACTATACTCTTAATTCAATGTTTCATAAAAGAGGAGAAATAGATTTGGATGAACAAATATCTCGAGACCAAAAAAAGCAAGACCTATGTAAAAAAGAAGGTATATGTCTTATCTTGGTACCCCATACATGTGATCTTTTTCCCTACATTAGGCATACGCTAATTAAGAAAGGATTCTTGGATGAAACGAAGCCTAGACCTTGAAATTTTACTAAGAAATTTTACTTCGCTTAATATACTGTATTATTAGTAATACTTAGTTTCAACAATATGAAAGTCGAAAAGCTTGATCCGGTAGATAGAATCATTCTCCATGTTGATGAGATAAAAGATGCGAAAAAATTCAATGCAATGAACTCAACACCTCAATGGCCCTTTACATTATTAGTCAGTAGTCACACCAATTCGGGAAAAACTAACGAAGTTGTCAACCTATTATTGGAAAATAAGCTTTATCGAATGTTCAACAGAAAAAAAAAGGGGACCAGATATATTTTGAATGATGATTTAGTACTTATTGGCCACCATCTTAAAGAACCAAAATATTTATACCTTAAATCAGGATACCAGATTATTGCAAATAGCACAGAATCATATCGTGAAGATATAACATTTCGGGCGATGAAACCCAATAAAATTCCAAAGCTGGAATCATTCTCTCCAGAAAAAGATACAGTAGTTATATTCGAAGACTTATGTGCTGATTCAAAGAAGGTCCAGGAAAAGATTGTTCCTTATTTCACTGAAGGGCGCCACAAAAATATAAGCCCAATTTACGTAATGCAGAGCTTTTTTGACTGTCCAAAGATAATAAGAAAAGAACTAAATTATATAGTACTCTTCAATGGGTCTTCCTCAGATGAACTAGCCCGTATTCTTCGCCTATATACTAATGATTGGCGTAGCATATATGCAGATGTTGATAACTATTTGTGTGATCGGAATTTCATTGTCTTCGATTTAACAGTACCTCAAAATCATCCTCACCGAATACGAAAAGGATAGAATACGCCATTCACCAAAATTTTGTCAAAGCTAATAAAATTTATTTTCGCATTTATGAATTAAAATCTTTTAATTAGTAAACCCGTATAAATTTGAATGATAATATTCTCCTTTAATATTAAAGAAGAATCACTAAAGAAAAAAGAGATTAATTAAATCAGACAAAGCTAAGTGATAATGGCTAAGAAATCAAAAAATAATCAGTGCAAGGCAATGGGTAAGTTTACTACTTGCCCCACACAGTACATACCACTATGCAATCCAGATAAATATGACCACATATATGATCGGGCAACTGACTTTATCACTGTTAAAAATATAAAACAAGACAGAATCATAGGCGTGTTCAATTACCCTGAATTATGTGAATATCTAGGAGTAGCAAATCCATTAAAAAACGTTCGACAATTACTGTGCTCTGGTGACATGGTGTCCCACCTCGGCAACTAGAAAAATTGATGTGGTCTCAATAGTTGTCCACTGTTTTCCTAATGCTATTCTTGAGATCACAATTGAGTATACATTAATATTTACCACTGACTTTTTGCAATTCTTGCTCAAAGTCAGAAAATAAAGTTACTTCACTTTAGTGAAGGCTTGCAAGAAAAAACTGGATCACTATATTTTGTTTTTCGAGCTTGTGAGAAAAACTGATATATGCAAAAAAGAAATAAAAATCTATGAAGTGTATATTAATAATTACTTACATTTTTTTCTATTCTCGGCTACATACAAATTTGAATCGCGATATTCCTTAATATAGGTTGATAAAGAATCGCTAAAAACGCTATAAATTGCTAAAAAATGCTATAAATCACTAAAGTCGGCTATAAACTATAAAGAGTAAAAAATGGTTAAAACCAACCGTAACTACTATTCTAGTTTAAATCCTGAAGTA